AAACGACACTGACTTTGGGTAAATCGACCATGCTGAACACGATGGTGATATTTTTGAAACGGAAAAATGCTTTTAGAAAAAGTCGATTCTTTGGAGCTGTTTTAAATTCCATATTTAAGCTACTAAACGTCATTTTCGCGGCTTCTTACCCTGCTCATCGAATTCTACAGCATCGAAAACACTAGGAAACATTCCGTTTGGTGCAAAATATAACGAGGCAGCCGAGTTACAAGAGCTTCCTGGGTGTTGCCTTCTTTTTGCACGCTACTGTAGATAGCCGAATATCATTTCCGGAAGCTTTTCGATGACTAGAATTGGATCCAGATGCTCCTGCAATTTTTTGAGGAAGGCGCTGGGCTTTCCGCGGATGATTCCATGACAAATGTGAAATTCTCACTTTTCTATGACTTCAAAATCCATCCAGACCGAAAAATAGGCTAAAAAACTTAGTTTGGTTAGTTTTAGGGTTTGTTAGAGCCTAACTTTAGTGCATACTTAAATTCTGGACTTCCCCGTACCTTTAAAGTCGCTGGAAAGCGTCGAACCAGGTCTCAAGTTGATTAAATGCTTAACTTCAAGCCACTTCAGCCCAATGCCACAACTACCGTACCCGCAACCACCTACTCTGTCGCTCTCTCTCTCTCTCTCTCGCTCTCTCTCTTTTTTCTCTTTCTCTCTCCCGCTACTACTCCATTTAGTGCTCCCCGATCATGGGCAGATGCAAATTGAGCCGATCGGATTATCTGGCTCTCCCCATCGGTGCGCTCCTTTTTTTGCTATGATGCGATGCGCCGCCCTGATTACGCCACCTCCACTCGTCGCCTGGGTGTGATAGAGATACCCTAGGAGAGAGAGAGAGAGAGAGAGAGCGAGAGAGAGAGAGATGCTGTAGGGACAGATTGAGACGTTGCGCCATAAATTATGCGCTCATGGGCCCACCGCCTTTGTACTGCCCTTTGAGTGTTTATGGGGTGTGAGGGGGATCTTGAGTAGTCTCTGCTAGCTTGCCCTTGCCCGACCCCGCCGGTACCTCGAATTCAATGGCGGGGACGGGAGATAATTGGGTGTTAGGGGACAGAAGGGAAGGGCAGGCTGGCAGGAATTGTTTGGGAAACTGTGAGATTTGAGAGTGAGGGGCAGGCTAGCAGAGATCATTTGGGAATGGAAGGGGCAGGCTAGCAGAGATCATTTGGGAATGGAAGGGGCAGGCTAGCAGAGATCATTTGGGAATGGAAGGAGCAGGCTAGCAGAGATCATTTGGGAATGGAAGGGGCAGGCTAGCAGAGATCATTTGGGAATGGAAGGGGCAGGCTAGCAGAGATCATTTGGGAATGGAGGGGGCAAGCTAGCAGCGATCATTTTCTGAGCCTCAAAAACCCGGATGCCAGCTAGCTAGCAGAGTTTCTTTGCGGAATCTTGCATCTGCCGGCACCATATATCCCATTTTTTTTGGTGCTCGAAAACCCGTAGACCGACACATTTTATGTCTCGCTCCAGCGCTGTCGGGAAGGAGCTCGTGCTCCCCCGGGATTTCAACCACAAAAGCGCCGCCATTCTATTAGGGCCCCCACCCAAGCAGACCCCTCGGCACACTTGTTTTATTAGTGGACTGGGACTCGAGGCAAAAGCAAGGGGCCAAAAGGCCACACCCGGGCAGGGTGTTGGCCCTGAATTATGGCTGTTTGCGCTTCACCCCTTCAGAAGCCGGGAAGAAGGGGAAAGAATTGAGTTATTGACGGTCTTCCGGCGGATACATACAACACTTGGCACCCCCCTAGAAAAGGGATGAAAATGGAATCGGGGGACCATCGGGATACGGTAGTTTGGAGCGAAGTTTAGAAAGCGCACAACTTTAGCAATGACCTTTCCGGGAAAATCATCTTTTTTGGTATTGATTTGTACGTTTTTACTGGATCAAGTATTTCAAACTTCGAATGGCCCGAACATGGGATACGGTATGTCGTGCGAGGTTTAGAAAATTGTCGAGTTTCAACCGAAATTTCTCAAAAAATCTAATTAGCTGGATAATTTTTTCCATTTTCGATTAGTTAGTACTCATTAAATCTCATTTCTATTGATTTCTACGCAATTTCTGGAAAATTTAACGGCCTAGGGTTACGGTATTTGGGGCAAGCCTTTGGGATTGATTTACATACTAAGATATCGCTTTCCAGAGTCTAAGGTACGGGAGAAAAGGCGGAATTTGAGTTTTGACTTGAGTTTACAGATTTGAACGCCGGGAATACCTTCTCAAAGACCGTAAATTTCGATAAACACTTTATTCCGGTGTTTTGAAACACCCGGAATTAGCCCGGGACCCCGCTCTTGGGCTACAGTAGCCCATTCAAATTCAAGCTGACTACCAGATACTCCAGATTCGAAAACTTTCTCACGCTCTTCACCCCCAACGCCGGGGGTGAAAAACACCAATCTCTCCCTCTAACCTTTTTAGGGGATAGAGTGGGTCGGCAATGAAATGTTCGAGGGCAAAATGTTGCTTTTTGCCCGGTTGCCACTCGTCCCGGAAAAGGTTCACGCTGGGGCGTGGGAACCAGTCGGATGGTGACTAGGGAAACTAGGAAAAACGTCAATAGTAGCTTACCGTAGTACCGTAACGTAACGTGGAGACGTGATGCCTTCCAAGTTCCTTGAAATCAAAGTTTAACTCCAAGCCATGTTTCAAAAACCGAAAAACCGTCTTTACCTCGACGAGAATCGAACCCGGAACCTCCGGTTACCATTCAAAACCGAAACCATTCAGCCATCGGTCTCTCCAAAGCCTTGCCGACACCTTTAAGCAAATCCACTACCCGAATTTTCCCCAATAATCCCGGCGCTTATCTCGTTGGGTCAGCTGGGACAGTGTTTGCCCACTGCCAATTAATCATGTCTCGTATTTGGTGGGCCACCGTTCTCGACCGCCCCATCCCAATAAATCTGCCTCCCTCCTCGGGGCTACGCATCACTCCTTTTGAACGTACCGACAGTATCTCTCTCTCTCTCTCTCCCTCTCTCTCTCCACCCTCACAAAGCCTTTTGCTACATTTGACACGATTTGTCAACACATCGCGACAGGACCGCCGGGATGGGGGAGAGGAGGAGGACGACCCTTGGGATGGGTGATAATTGATGATGGGTCGGGTGGCCCCACTGGTTTTTTAAGGTGCCGCCGGGGAGCGGATGGTAATGTAATGGACGAGATTATAAGCGAATTATTGAGATAGACGGTTGTTTAAAGGGACTTGAAAGTTCAGTATTTTTACTTCCAGGCATTTTTCGTAGCAAAAAATCTAGCTTTTCCCGCTGCTTTTAGCGAAGCAACTCTTTTCTTTTTTTAATTTTAACTTAGACTCTCTTGGACCACCAAAAATAAAGTATTTCCTAAAAGCATACAGGAAAGCTTGAAAAGCTAATAAGGCTAGTAGAGAATTTTTGGGGAATACAATTGCTGACCAGCGATTCCAGGGCAGCGAGCAGAAATTATTCATTTTCCCGGAAATTTTACTACAATTCTCTGAAAGTCCAAGGGTTAACAATTGCCAAAAATCGAAAACTGGGATTTAACGGCAACCGGAAAAAAGACTTTTGTAAAACCTCCAGATCCCTAAGAAAGGCACCCTCTAGTTCCGCGCTAGAAGCTCCTATTGTCTCGCCTTCTCCTCCCTATTTTATAGCCCATTCCACCGCCCAGTCGAACAAATTAAGCCCCAGGGTGATGATCATTTGACCCTAAGAAAGCCATTGAATAGTTGCGCAATTCCACCCCGGTCCCCCGGCGTCAATTTACGACTGCTTACAGCGCTCGAGAAATGCAGTAAAAGTGCCTGTCTCGAGAGCGGAGTACGGTAGTTTGAGACAGAGAGAGAGAGAGGGAGAGAGCGAGAGAGAGAGAGAGAAACCATGGCTTAATCAAACACTACAACAGCTCTCCATTCATTCTTCTTCTCGACCCGTGATGGGGGACAGCTCTCCATTTATTGCCTCCGCGGAGCAGGAGGGGAGAAGAAATGAATGTGAGCCATCTAGAAAGTTGGCTAGGGGAGAAGTTACGAGCCAGTACTATGGATTGGGGGCCAGAAAATAATCGAAAATGGTCGGTTCGTCAAAGAATCCCTGCAAGCCTGTCCCTTCCATTCCCAAATGATCTCTGCTAGTCTGCCCCTTCCATTCCCAAATGATCTCTGCTAGACTGAACCTTCAATTCCCAAATGATCTCTGCTAGCCTGCCCCCAATTCTTATGGAAATTCCAACACTAAACTGTAAACAACCTTAATTCCATCCAAATCCATTAGTAACCGTTCGAATCTTTCTCTCTCTCTCTCTCCCTATCTCTCTCACTCTCTCTCTCTCTCGCTCGCTCTCACCAATGACAGAAGGTCATCGTTAGGTTCGGGCTAAATGTGCTCTACTACCCCGATTGGGAGGAAACCTAGGGAGGGCACCCTTTGAAGCAGTGGGGGAGCACGAGCTGCTCCCCTGGCTTCGAGTCATAAAAATTAGCATAAAGGGCCGAGGGGAGACCGGGCGACTGTAAATCTTTTGTAGGAGCAAATTGAGTAAACAGCGTCTCCCCGAGAGGCGGGAGAGAGACGGGGGAGAGAGTGAGAGAGAGAGAGAGAGAGACAGCGATGGTGTAAATGGTTCCAGATGTCGCCCAAATTCGGCCTTTTGACCGGGCCGAGCTTTAGAGGCTCTAAAGGGCCATTGAAGGGATCAATCTCTTGGAGTCAGGGGTGGGAAAGTGGATTGGTAGGGGGTGAGGAGTAATTAGGAGTTTATGGAATTGCTTTAAAGGGACTAGCAAGTTGGAAAATCGACCCCGTTAATTGACTGGGTCTAGACAGCTACGTGACACACCAACATACGTGCCAGTCGCTTTTTAATTCCGGTAGCTGTCTAGACCTAGACGACAGAAAAGTTCGATTTTTGAACTCTTTGTTTTGTAAAAAACCCTTTTGACGATTTAGATATTTAACTGTATTAAATTTTATTTTTCCAGAACTCCAAATCGACGACGACGGCTGCCCAATTTGCCCAATTTGCTCGGAGAAGCTCCCAGAAGCCGAGTGGGCCGATCACGTCGAGCTGGAGAAGACCAGGATCATGGACTCGATCATCAGGTTTGTTCTCTCTCTCGCTCTTTCCCTCTCTCTCTCTCTCTCTCTCTCTCTCTCTCTCTCTCTAGCTAATATATATTTTTTTTCAGCGCCAAAGTGCAGCAGCCATGCGGTGTTGAAGCTGCTCAGAGCCCGGGGACTTTGGCTAGGAGGAAACGTGAAAATGAGCTCGCCAGAGTCAGGGCGAACCAGTTGAAGCGGCTTTCACGTAAGTTTTTCTAGGTATTTCTCTCTCTCTCTCTCTCTCTCTCTCTCTCTGTCTCTCTATTTCTTTCTACCTCTCGCTACCTCTCTCTCTCTCGCTAGCTCCATCTATCTTTCTTGCTTTCTCTCGCGCTAGTTTTGTCTCTCTCCGTCTCCTCTCTCTCCCTCTCTCTCTCTCTCTCTCTCTCTCTCTCTCTCTCTCTCTCCCTCTCTCTCTCTTTCTCTCTTTCATTCTCTCTCTCTCTTTGTCTCTTCTCTCGTTTGTGCCATCATATTATCGATTTTCTTGTTTAGTAAAACGAGCCATGATGCCATCAACCTCGATCCGGGACACCTTGACTCCGTTTAGCCGACAGGTAAGCATAGCGCTGATACAAATTTTGATGGCATGGCGTCGATGCAAAGTTGTGCATTGTGGCTGTAAAAATAACTCACTATGCCTAATCTATCTGAGGGCCTTACAACAAGTCCAAATATTGGACAAACAGACGTGCGTATACTAGATACAGCCAGTCATATCCCCCGGCTACATCTGGTCCTGCTGTCCATCTTGGGGGGCGCGCGAAATTGGTTGTAAAACTGGGTCGTTTGGGTGGAGTATTGGGGGAGTCGATTTGGTAAACAAGGCTGGGAGAATGAGGAGGAGAACGAGGGGCGGAAAATATATTGAATGAGCCGTTTTAAATTTTTTATTAAATTTTATAAAGGACGATAAGTCTTTTTTCAGTCGGAAACCCTCAGCTCCCCGGACTCGAAAGGCAACAACGGCGAAGCGATGCGATGCGCGATTTGCTCGGTAATTTTTCAATGCACTTTACCGTATATTCATTAAAATAAGCAGCTTTGGAGATTCGTAGTATTTCAAGGCTATTAAATTTCGATTTTTTGATTGTATTTTTATAAAAAAAAAGTAGAAAATTGTGATGCGGTAGGGATTTTCAGGTTCGAAAAATTCGTAGAAAAGTCATAAATTCTTTAAAAAAACTCTATTTATTAAATTTTTTAGCGCGAAACCGATTACTGTATCGTGGCCTCCTCCTTCGAGCACCCCCGCTGCCAGCAGTGCTTCGACCAGATGACCTCAGCCCCGAATCAGGTCCTCATCCCGGCTACGGTGGGTTAAAGAAGCTCTCAGAATACCTAAAAATCGGGTTGCTACCATCGCTTTTTGTAGCATAGCGTAAATTAGCCAAAAAATAGTCTGGTCGGAAAATCGCACCAGGGACCCTGCGTGGCCCATTTTGGAGGTTCCGCAGCTCATTTCCGGGTGTTGTTTCCGGTGATTTTTGCAGAGAAGAAAAAGAAGAAGTAGACTGAGAGAGACAGAGAGAGAGAGAAAGAGAGAGAGAGAGAGAGAGAGAGAGAGAGAGAGAGAAAGAGAGAGAGCGAGGGACAGATAACCAAATTCCCAAACGCCGTTTAAAATCATAATTTAGAGCGGCTAATTAAACTCGTTAAATAGAGACGCTATAGAATTTTACAACCAATTTATAAAACGCATTAATAAACTCTTTTTCAGCTCGCCGGCAGCCCGATTGATATGCGGCTGAACGCCTCGGAGTCGACGATCTCGGCCGAGATGAGCCCCCCGGAGAAGCGCATCAAGATGGAGGAATGAACCCCTAGAGCAATCTTAACTGAATCCCATTTATTAGTACCCTATTGGCTTAAAAATGACGACTATTTCCCTCTGCAATACGCTATTTAAATCTAGGAGCCAGTGCGTAGCTTTAACAGGCTAATTTAAAATTTTTTAACATTTTCGTTTTATGAAAATCTATGCTTTTACGCGCCTCAACGTGTAGCCAACCTTAAAGTATACAAATATTACCATTTACGCTATGACGATTCATTAATGGCGATTTTAAAAACGTTCGTATTGTGATTTCCTTATTAAATCTTTTTTGTAAGATTGTGACAGTTTGCAGTACTTTTAAAGCTTTAGCACCCTTGTCGCGGTAATTTCGATATACCCTATTTTATCAAATTTCCTATTCTTTTGTAAAAAATATTTGCACTAGTCTTTTCGATGTAATTTCGAGGTTTTCAGTAGTAATTCTAAAGAAAAACGAGACTTTTTCGATGGCTCCTTCCCATTGTGACAATTTGTCGATTCTTCATGACCCTATTTTTTCGTTCTTGTCCTGGATTTGCTTATGATGATGATGATGACGTGAT